CTTAGGACAACTAACATCCTTTCAAAAAAAAAAAAAAAAAAAAAAAAGGTGACATCAACAACAAACAACCCAAAACACTGATAAGCCATTTGTCTGATCATCTGAAATAGTGTAAATAAGTGTTTTATTTCCATGTGTGCACTAGTCCAACTATTACATGATGTGCTAGGGTCACTGTATTTACAGAATAAATTACAAAAACAACAATGTCTCCAGCACTCACGCAAGCCACAAGCTTTTAGAATTGTGTGGCTAGACTCCATAATTGATGTTCATTCGACACAAAGATTAAGATAACAGGTAGAATGGAACCCTTCCCACTGCTTTCTTCTCCCAGTCACATCTTGGCATCTTAAATGATGGCAAAAATATGTCCCTGTCCTGATTAAGGACATAACATTATAAAACAACAATTGGTCATACTAGTACATGCACATTCCGAACTGCTTGAAAAATGTGAAGAGAACAAATTAGGCCTCTTGTTTGTCTATATGGATGTGCAGAGTTCTCAATGGGCCTGTAATGGGTAGAATGGGAAGATCTGTGGCCACAGAGACAATGGCCCTCTCTCCTTCCAGGAGGAACCTCTGCAGGCCATGGACTGGGGGAAGCCACCCGTCCTCACTCTCCCTCTGTGAGGCAGTGAGGGGCCTGGGCAGAAGCATGATGACCTGGAAATGTGAACGCGCCACCGATTCCATTGGGCTCCATGCCAGGCATGGTGCGAGAGGCAGTGGTGGAATAAAGATGGCAGAATAGGGTCTCTGCTCCCCAAGCATTTGCAGTGGGTGGCTGATAAAGACATAGGTGCCAACACCTGGAACAGAAAGCAGCCTGGAACAGAGGCAAATGCAAAAGCTACGAGAGCAAAGGGCTGAGAGAAAAGCATTCCCACTGGGGATCTGGGCAAGCCTGGTGAGAGAACAGGACTGTCATAAGTAGGGGGGTGTCCTAGAGTCCTTATTTGTCCCTAACTGTGACTGAGGATGATAATAACAGCACACCTACTACACTAGGTGCCTTTAAAGATTCAAAATATATAAAATTCCTGGCATTAGTAGGCACTATAACAAGTGTTAGCTATTCCCACAGGTAAGGGAGCATAAGTAGGGCCAGAAGTATACATCAGAAGGCTTTAAAATCTAGGAAAAATGAACCTTGCACTTTGGTGTTGCTTCTATAACTTATCTTGTTTCAAGCCCTCCAGTAGGACGCATATCTAAAGTCAAGAGAAAATAGAAACATTAGTTTTTTCTTTCATGAGATTGTGGCTTTTGGTGGTACAGAGGTGCAGTGTGACCTTTGCAATGATCCTGAGGTGTAGCGATCATGGTGGCAAGTCCCTGGTCTTCACTAGAAATGACAACTTTTGCATCAGGTCAGGCTTTCCTGGGGATGCTCTCAGTGAAGCCTTGGGCCTCGCACACAAGCCAGGGCTCAGGGAGCAGTGGCGCTACTATGCATTCTTAGAGGGAAACAGTTAACCTCTTCTAACTTCCACATCTTCATCTGTAAAACGTTGGGTGGCGATACCTGTCACCAGGGGTCATTTTGAGGATTAAATGATATCAGATACATAAAGTGCTGTGGGTAGTCAATATTCACTCTTTGCAGTTATGACAGCAAAGACTGGCTTCCCTGGGTCAGGCTGGTAAAGATGACACTTCTTAGAGGAGGCACCGGAAAAGGGATACAAGGAGAGGAGGGGAGAGGAAGGGGCCCCACAGAGGATTTAAATGTGGTTTCCCTCCTGCTGAGGGGGCCTCTGCACTCAATAAACTAGAATGACCCTCGCTGAACTCCCAGGCATGAAAGTATAGCTGGTTTTTAAAAGCAATTCTTCTTTCAATAGAACTGAAAGGCTTTCCCTGGGAAGAGGCTCAGTCCTAAAACCTGCAGGACAACCCATGAAAAGCGGGAATGTGCCCTCTCTCTCTAGGGAGCAGGGAGCCCCATCCACGCTGTTGTCTGAGCACTGGGACCCGCTGCCTCCTCTATTTCAAATTAACCAGAAACCTGAGAACCCGAAAGCTGAGCCCCAGCTAACATTATTTAAATGAACTGGCTGTTACATGAACCTTAAACCACATGTCATTTGGTCGCGGGGGCTGCCCTGGGCCAAGAGACATTAATATAGAGTTCCCAGCTCACAAATGGATTGTGTTCCAAACGTGCATTTGGAAAGCTGTGGTTTGAAAGGCAGAAATTTACTTTCCCAGAGAGGAGATGTTATAAATGGTGATTGGGGCCACGCTAGCTCACAAAACTCCATGTAATCACAACAGAGCTAAACATTGCACACTTTAAGCCAAAAAAAAAAAAAAAAAAAAAAAGTAAGAGAGAGAGAGAGAGAGAGAGAGAGAGAGAGAGAGAGAGAGAGAGAGAAGAGGTGGCACTGGCTGGGTGGCTCATTTTGCTGGAGCATCCAAAGGTGGTGACTTTGATTCATGGTCAAGATGCATACTTAGGTTGCAGGGTCAATCCCCAGTCGGGATGCATTCGGGAGGCAATCAATAGATGTTTCTCTCTCATATCCATGTGTTTCTCTCTCCCCCACCCCCACCCCCTTCCTTTCTGTCCAAACTATCAATAAAACATATCCTTAGAGGAGGATTAAAAGAGAAAAAGAAAGAGTAGAGGTCAATAATGTTACAGTATTAATAATTAAAGAACAAGATAAACAATAAAGTTAAGTAGCCTTTAGTCTTCAGAACGAGTAGTTAAGCAAAGGCAGATTTAATGAAAGGAAGGTGGAAAAGTCTATCCAGTGAAGCTGGGGGCCAGGGAAAGCTAGCCAGGAACCCTGGCAGTTAAGCATCAGACGGGCTTGTACAATTTCTAAGTGGTTAGTGTCTGAATGGGCTCTGGGGGAGGGCTGAGGGGGATGACTCAAAGGAAGTTAGCCTCATTATCTCTCTGAAGCCCTGTCTTTCATTTGTCAAAGTAAGTCCTGTCTTCAGAGTCCCTCTCCTTTTAGGAATGATGACCCTATGAATCAGTCTGCCCCTGACCTCAAGAATCACTGGCATGTAGAACTTTTGGTGCCTCTTTCTTACTGGTCTCTGAGATCAGACAAGCTCTTGGATTCTGCATTGCCTGGATGGTTAGAATTTCACACACACACACACACACACACACACACACACACCCATTTAGATGGAATCTGCTACTGCCATCACTTTGACAGAGGAAAGTCCCCACCAGTTGTCTAGATTCTCTCCATCCACCACCCTACTCCAGGTGACCAGCACTGTACCTGGTTGAAGACATTCTGAATCACCAGTTTTAGCTGTATCACTCAGGCTCAAATGCACATTTTATTTGTAATTATTTAAAAGACATGAGAAAAGAGGAAATTGAAAAAGAGAGTTTCTTGAAACAGATCATTTGCAAAACAATAAAGGATTTCTGCAAGATCTAACCATTAGATGGCACCATCAGCCCAAGGCAGTTCAGTGTCCTCAGAAGGGTAGTAAAGAAATGGGGAAAACCCTGACCAGTTTGCTTCAGTGGATAGAGCATCAGCCTTCAGACTGAAGGATCTCGGGCTCTATTCTCTTCAATGGCATGTGCCTTGGTTGCGATTGGGAGGCACAGACCTTCTTGATCTGGCCCTTGCTGGCTTTGCAGCCCCTTTCTTGAGTGGTGAAGAGCCCAACCATGGAGTCAGTCCTCTCTGGTTCAGCTGATGGATGTTTCTCTCTCATCAATGTTTCTAATTCTCTATGCCTCTCCCTTCCTCTCTGGGGGAAAAATATATATATATATATATATATATATATATATATATATATATATATATATATGTAAAATATATTTTTTTAAAAAATGGAAAAAATTAATGAATGATAATCAGCCAGAGGGTAGGCAGTCTACAGGGGAACACTTTGCAATCAATAATTTAACACATGCAAGGTATTCCTGTGACAAGAGAATATAGAAGAATTTGAGGACATTCTGGGCTAGAAAGAAAGGGTGGCCTTTGCCACATGAAGGCAGACCAGAAGCCAGGTAGGGAGGCGACATGTCCAAATGAATTCAGTATCTTTCTTTCCCCAAATCGACTGTTCTTTCAAAATTCCCATTCTCAGGGATGGCAGCATCAGGTGCCCAAATGCCAGGCTCCTCAAGCTACATGCCTGGGCACCATCCTCGAAGATCAGTTAAGTCTTGTAGATTCTACCACTTGGCACCATCCATGTCTCTCCATCCCCCCTCCGTCCCATCACTGCACACAAGGCCACTGCCACCTTTAACTACAGCAACAGCTTTTTACCTGGTCTCCCTATCTCGGGTCTTAGTTAAGCATCCCTCCCCCAACGCTTGCAGTCAAAAGACAAGTGTAGTAATGTCATTTTCTTGCTTGCCACTCTGTAATGACTTTCCGTGCTCCTTAGAATACAGCCCAGACTGTTAAAAGGGATGTACATAGACCTTCATGATCTGGCCCTTGCTGGCTTTGCAGCCCCTTTCTTGAGTGGTGAAGAGCCCAACCATGGAGTCAGTCCTCTCTGGTTCAAATCCCCACTGTTCCACCTACTAGCTTTGAAATTGGACAACCTCTCTGTGTTCTCCCGTGTACAACGGAGATTATAACACCACCGACCTCATGGGGTTGTCATGAGGACTGAATGAGTTCACACAGGTAAAGTACTTGGCATAGGAAGCACTTACCACAGCTAACTCTACTGAAATGTGTCACTACCCCCTGCTAGGCTGAAAGTTCCACAATAGCAGGGACATGTTCATCTGTGGGTCAGTCTCCACCCGTAGCTTCTGTGAGTTTGGGAAAACGAGCTATCACAAACTGGAATGAAGTTAGCCATATCAAGTCAGGAACCCTGGCAGTTTGGCATCAGACTGGCTTGTACAATTTCTGTCTAAGAGGCTAGTGTCTGACAGGGCTCTGGGGGAGGTCTGCAGCGGGGTGACTCAAAGGGAGTCAGACTATCTGATTGTGCGTTCCCTCTTGGTGTACTGCCCTAAATGAACACCCAAGTGTTCCTAAAGGCTTACTAAGAGTCCCAGCTTGTTCCAACCATGAGTCCAGGTGTGGGCCTGAGGCCAAGGGGAAGGAGAGTGTCCCCTAAAAGTGGACAGGACCAAGGCAAGCTGCGGGTGGTTTCCACAGCAGCCAGGGGCCAAGAGGGGCTGCGTTCTCTCCCCACAGTGGAGCTTCTCCCCTTTGTCACCTTGGGACGGGCCAGATTGGCCTCTAGGGAGCTGCCTGCCCTGATTAAAACTGCAGATAACCCAGGGCGGAGGCGCAGGAACCGAAGGGAAAGGAACACCGCCTTGGATACTCAGAGGCTCAAACTCCTTGCATTTGGACAACCGTCTTCTGATAAATGCTTCTGGCAGGGAGAGCTGAGAAGAAACGATCTCTCTTCCCCCCTCCCTCTCTCCTCTCTATTGCTCTCCCAGCTCCCAACGCTCTCCCTCCCGAACTCTGGGCTGTCCGCCAGCCCCATCACCTGGGAACAAAAACACTTGCCCCAGCCCAGCGCCCAGGACGGTTTTTTAGCGACGATGGCAGCCAACCGCCTCGCTCCGGAGGGGCCCTGGGCCCATAGGGTCTTCCAGTCGTGCTGGCAGCGGTGATCTCCAGCTCCCTCCTCTGCAGGAGGCCTGAGCGGAGCCAAGGGCTATCCCGCGCGGGGCCGGTGCCGCACAGCCTGGAGCGGGGCCGCCGCTCAGCAGCCGCAGGCTCGGCTCCCGACCGGAGTCAGGTCCAAAGGCGTCCCCTGTGGACTCGCGGAGATCTCGGAGCCCTCGGAGCCCTCGGAGCCCTCGGAGCCGGGGTGGCGGCGGAGCATGGCCGCGGGAGCAGAGCGCCAGGCCGGCGCGGAGCTGGAGGCGCCCCCCCAGCACGATCAGGTACGGAACTCGGGGCGCAGGCCGCAGGGACGGCGCATCAGGGCCCCCCAAGCTCACCCCGGAGCTGGGAGGCCGCGCTGACGTGTCCCCGAGCTCCCCGACCCCTCGCGGGGGGAATGGACCTCGGATGGAGGGGCGGGACCCCAGGGAAGACGCTGGTGCTTTTGCCTGATCCCCACCCAACCCACCCCACCCCAGGAAGCCAACTCCTCTCCATTTCTCTTCCTCTCTCTCCCTCCCTCCTCCCCTTAAGGAGAACAGCTTGAGGGATGGAGGGTGTACATTACGCTTGACTTGGTTCTCAAACTGGAGCGTAAGGGCTGGTTAAAACGCGGTAGGAAGAGATTGTTGTCCCCAAAACAGGTCCAAGGGAGGCTTTGTGGGATTCCTAAGAAGCAAGGGATTGTTCCTGGCTGGGGAGTAGGGGGAGAGGAGGTGGGGGGTGGGCAACGTTGATGCGGGGCCTTGGAGGATGGATGAGACCCGGCCACGTGGGTGATGAGGGGCCTAGATGGCGGGAACTGCAGACCAAATTGCTTGGAGCTGATGAAAACATTGGGGAGTGATCGTGGGGAAAGGCAAGGCGGGTGATATACACTAAGACTCTGTGGAAATCTGGCGTTCACAAAGGTTTGAGGTAAAAGATAAGGGAAAGCCAGGTTGTGATTGGCCTGTGGATCACGCTATGCATTTGGGATTTTATGGGCTTCCTTGCTGGTTTCAAAGCCAGACCATCCAGAGGAGGTTATAGATGGAAAACTGCTCACCAGGAGGGGCAGGAGACTGGTAGTCTCCTTTACTGCTGTTTGCCAATATCACTGCGCTCAGGAGGCATGGCCCCTCTGTTAACTTGGCCCTAGGGTAAGGTGGCCAGATGGTCCAGGTGTTGGCGGAACAATCCTGATTTCTAACAATTTTTCCCGCGTCCCGCGGCGTTTTAAAAAAAGTCCCGATTTTTTGAAAGATTGGAAACACTGGAAAGATTCTTTCCAAAAATTGGGACTTTTTTTTTAAATGCAAGACGATCTGGTCACCTTACCCTAGGGGACTCGCAGCTTTTCCCAAGAGCAAACCTCTGGTGATCCACCAACCAATAGTCAATGTGTTGCATGGAAGACAATTAGAAGTTGCCCTGGCTGGATAGCTCAGTTGGTTAGAGCATCATCCCAACACACCAAAGTTTCAGGTTCGTCCCTGGTCAGGCCACATACAAGAATCTACCAATGAGTTCATAAATAAGTAGAACAACAAATCAACATTTCCCTCTCTTTCTCCCTCCCTCTTTCTCGCTCCCTTTTTCTTTCTCTCTCTAAAAATCAATCCATGAATAATTAATATTTAAAAAGAAAAAAATGCAAAGGGCACTACAAACACATGTGTCCTCCTAAGATTACTTCCCCTACTAATTGTATCTTAAACTTTACCTCAAACTGCTGTTACAATAAAAGGCTAATGAGGCAGACAGTTGAGGCTCCCTGGTCAGGCCATTTGGCCAAGCTATCCCTTAGCCCTCTCCTTCACAGAAGAAGGAGAAGGAGAAGGAGGAAAAGAAGAAGGAGAGAGAGAGAGGAAGGAAGGAAGGAAGGAAGGAAGGAAGGAAGGAAGGAAGGAAGGAAGGAAGGAAGGAAGGAAGGAAGGAAGGAAGGAGGAGGAAGGAAGGGTGGGTCTCGGTCCCCACCCCAGAACTCCTGAATTAAAAATCTACATTTAAACCAGACTCTTGGGTGACTGCATAATGATTGGCATTTAGCTTTCAAATGGCCCAATATAATGTATTAGCAGTGATCAAGGGAAGGCACGTGGGTGCACTGCAGGTCATCCACAAGCACTTCCTGAGGATGGTCTCTGTGCTCTCCAGCTCCTACATCATCCCCTTCCCTGGGGCCGGGCCTTCAATGAAATTGAATTAGCGGGAAGACACAAAAATGCTCCAAACAAGTAGAGCCTCTAGTCAGATCTGTTTCTAAAACCTTGAACTTAGAGATATTTACTCACTGGCGCTAATTGAGACACCAACAAAACAAGTGGTTTTGTTTTTGTTTTGTTTTGTGTGTGTGTGTGTGTGTGTGTGTTTGTTTTTTGGGGGGGGTGTCTTAGATTTATACTTCATATCCCAGAAGCCAGGGTGATACTGCTTTTCAGGAGGCCACTCTACCACCTTGATTGAATGGCACCTCCTCTGGTTCTCAAGTATTTATTAGAGGCCCAGGCCATGAAATTCGTGCATGGTAGGGTCCCTAGGCCTGGTTGGCGATCAGGGCCATCAGGTTCCCCACCTCCTCCACCCACACGCTGCCACTGCATGGTTCCCCGCCTTCCTGTATCCTCTATGCCTCGCCACCTGCATACCGCCACCTTGCCCACCTCCAGGTTCCTGCCTCCCCACCTCCTCCTTCTCTCACTCCCTCAGCACCCCACCGCCACTGCCACCCTCACTGCTCCCCTCTTCATAGCCAGCGATTGAATTCCCAAGAGATATAATTTGCATATTAGCCTTTTATATATAGGCTAGTGACCTAATTACTGTTTTGGTGTGTGTGTTAGTTTATAAGCAAACATTTTATTGGAGCTTTCATTCTAAATTATTCTGGCTCATTTTTTTTTTCAGATCTCTCACACAAATCTTTCTGCAGATGACGAGTGGAAGTAAGTGATTAGTATATTTTTTATTTTTACACTAAAAAAGTAGATTTCTATCTTAACTGAGAAATTAAATGAAGCCATCATTTTATTTGTAAATTTCTAGGATAGAGAAGGTGAGTTAGCATAACCGTGCGTGCCCAAGGGTAGTATAGACCAAAACTATAGTGTGCTCTGTGCCACCCCACAAGCTGGATTTGTATGTCCTTCAAAATCAGGCAGTGCCAACTCAGTACTTATTTTGGCACAAGATACATCTGGTTTTCTTCATATGCTGCTTCCCCTGTGTTCTGTTACCTGTCACCACATGAAATGAAATAAGTGAAAAGTCCCTCCTTTTTTGCTTTATGGTAATCAATCAGGAATGTATTCCTAATCAAAATAGGAAATACTACATTTGTATACCATCACTTTATACTTCCTGAAGTGTTTCCACATTGGTTAGCTATTTGACATGAAATATATATATTTATATATTATAATATATATATTAGACTAATGTCATAAAGCATGTTTTGTTTGATATCTATGCAAGTCCTATTTTAGCTTGATGAGAGATTTACTCTTCTATCCACGTGGCCTAAATTGAAAATCTATTTATTACATAGAATATTAAATAGCTATTTTGAACTTGGGGCTGTAAGAACTATTACTAAATTCTTGTACCTTTTTATTTTTTTCCACTTCCCATTTCTTCAGAGGAATGAGCATATTTTTTAATGAGCTTCTAAAAACCATTCTTGTCTCCTAAGCTCAACTTCAACACAGAGACTAATAGTCATGTGATCTTACTCAGGATGTTTACCTGAAATGGACTTAAGAGTCTTAGTTTGAAAAATAAAGTGTTTCAGTACATCTTTGGTACCTTCCAGCATTAACACCCTAAGATTCTATCTCAAATAAGCTGAACACAAGTAAGAATATTTATTTACTAGGCTCTGTGGATTAATTTCTGCACATTCTCCAGCAGGGGGCACCCCTGGGATTTGAATGGGGTCCTTTTCTGAGGCACTTCTCTGCTCTATGTAATAGCTCTGTAAAAACGCTAGTAAAGGGAAGAACCAAACCCACATATCTAACAAGTACCTTGAAAAGGCCACTATCTTGTGACACAGAAGATCACTCTGCAGTGTTTTCTGAATGGTACCTTAACTATTATAAATGCACACCGTAACCAGCCATAAATGGAAACTTTAAGAGATTTTGTGACTGATGGTGCTTCAGTGGAGATGAAATTAATGCTAAACAATATTTATAAAGTTGTTGGTTGGCAATGTTCATAATTTCCCCTTCCCTAATATTAACCCTGGACTTCTTTTTCTTCCTCAGGCCAGTGGTTCTCAATCTTGGCTGTATCTTAAAATTACATTGGTGGGGAACTTTAAAAATTACTGATGCCTAGATCACCATCTAGAAATCTGTGATCAGTTTTCCAGGGTTATTATAACAAAAGGCCACAGCCTGAGAGGCTTAAACAACAGAAATTTATTTTCTCATAGTTCTAGACTCTAGAATCTAGAGGCTAGAAGTCCAAGATCAAGGTATTAGCGATTCTTGCTGAAGTCGGTTTGGCTCAGTGGTAGAGCATCGACGTTTCTATCTGTCTATCTCTCTCCCTTCCTCTCTGTAAAAAATCAATAAAATATATTTTTTAAAAAGGTATTAGCGATTCTTGGTTTTTTCTGAGGCCTCTCTTCTTACCTTGTGGATGGCTGCCTTCTTGCTGTGTCTTCCTCTGTGTGAGTTTGTGTCCTAATCTCTTCTTGTAAGGACACCAGCCCCGTTGGGTTAGGGCCCACCATATGACCTCATTTTACCTTAATTACCTCTTTAAAATCCCTGTCTCCAAATACAGTCCCATTCTGAGGCATTGAGGAAAAGAACTTCTACATAGGAATTTGGGGTTAGAGGTGGAGAGATACAATTCAGCTCATTATACCCAGCAATGGTGTTTTTAATTAGTATGGTCATTGAATGATCATTTAATTCACTTAATTGATCTGGGGTATAGCTCGGGCACTGTGATTTTTAACTTACAGCCAAGGTCAAAAACCACTGCTCTAGGCTTTCTTCAAAGCCACTTCTGCTATAGTTAAGCCAGATGACATCACCTTAGTGGTTTTCTCTACCATTGTGCAAAACCAAGAGTCCAACTGAAAGCCTGAATATTCAGCCATCATGATTTAATCTAAAAAATTATATATATATATATATATATATATATATATATATATATGAACAACTATCACAACTGAAACAACCAAACGGATGACTGAACAGGTTGTGTGGGATGACCAGACTGGCAGGGGGGTTAGTGAGGGCCTGAGGGCCAAACAACTAAGCAAAGAGCTGTGTGGGTGACCAGGCCAGTGGGGTAAGGAGGGGGCTTTGAGAGGCAACCAAATGACCTAACAGCAGGCTGCATGGGGTGACCAGGCCATGGGGGGACAGTTAGGGGTGATCAGGCAGACAGGCAGGTGAGCAGTGAGGAGCCAGTGTCCCGGATTGTGAGAGGGATGTCTGACTGCCAGCAGCTGGACATCCCCCGAGGGGTCCCGGATTGGAGAGGGTACAGGCTGGGCTGAGGGAACCCCCGCCCCCATGCACAAATTTCATGCATTGAGCCTCTAGTTGACAAATAAAATAACATATGTTCTTTGCAATTTTAGAAAATCCTGAGGTACAGACAGATCATTATTTTAAATTTGCAAGTGAGTAAACTGAGGCTCAGAAACCATAAATGACTATCTATGGTGATAAACTGGCCAATCAAGGACTGGAACCCAAGCTTTTCCAGGACCCATTAGTGGTTTTCTTTTGTGGGAGCTTGGGGGGCATAACTTAACTTGAAGAACAAGGCTGAAGTCCATACACATGGAAAAACTAAGGGCTGAAAGGAATTGACTTTGCTGATGAGTTCGGCTCCTCCTCTCAACTGCCTCTTCCCTAAGCCTGGGGGAAAGAGAGGAACCAAGAAAAATTTAGGAAAACTTTGTAGTCAAAGCTTAAAATCCCTTACATTTGAAATCCCTAACTGCCTTCTATGGGCCCAGCCTATTATTTTTTTTTGCTAACTGTGCAAAGGTTGAGGACTTTTGCAGATGACCTCATTTGCTGGTTCCAGCCTGCAGCAGGAGAAGATGTTCAAGATGCACCGGGGCCACGAGTCCATGCACGTGGAGATGATCTTGATCTTCCTCTCCACCCTGGTCATCGCCCAGATAGTGCTGGTGCAGTGGAGACAGAGGCATGGCCGGTCCTACAACGTAAGTCACCCTGGTGGCTGCTGGAAGCCTGCTCCTTGGCGGCCACATCCCTCCTTTATTTATTTGTTTGTTTGTTTGTTTGTTTGTTTTTTACCACTTTGAAGAAAATGGTTTAAGTCAGTGATTCTCAACTGGGTACAATTTTGGCCCGAGGAGACATTTGGCAACATCTGGAAAAAATTTTTATCCCCCGTGAAAGGGGTTGGGGGGATGCTACTGGCATCTAGAAGGTAGAGGCCAAGGATGCTGCTCAACATGCACAGGACACAGCTACTTACCACAAAAGAAACGTCCATAGTGCCAAGGTTGAGAAGCCCTGGTTTAAGGAAACCAATTTCCCTTTTGTACATGAACAACTTCTGCCATTGGCCCAGGAAAGGAGAATTAGGAATTCCAGAAACAAAACGTGAGGCTGTCTAACTTTGTTTCATTAGCAATAAACTCTGGCACCGATGGCTTGCATATTCATGTAAGCCTGTTTATGCAAACACTGCACTGACAGTCACATAGGGCACAATCCCATTTTCAAAGACCAATCCCATTCAAGCATGTCCACTTGACCTTTGCCATCTCACAGCCCCAGGGGCATCCCCGGGGCTGTTGGGCCTGAGACCTTACAATGTTTAGAGTAGTGGTATGCAAATCTTAGGGTGTAACTATCACCTAGAGGGCTTATTAGATCTGATTCTCAGGTCCCATACTGAGTTTCTGATTCAACAGGTACCCAATAATTTGCAAGTCTAGCAAGTTCCCAGATGATCCTGGGACCACATTTTGATGATCAATGGTTTGGACTTGAGTGTGGCCTAAGTGAGGAAACGTTGCAAAGGGAGAAGGTCCTCAATGATCACTCTACATGATTCTGGGTCTTGGACTGGTTATTTATAAGAAGACTCGCCTGTGACATATGAAGTGCTGGCTTAGACCAGTATTTCATTTTCCTCTTACCCATCATAAAGATTATTTTCTGTATAGTACAGGGTCTAAGGGGATTTTTAAGAGTTCTGTATAATACTTAAATTTAGGCAATTTTGTACATTTTACATAGAAAGAGCAATGTTGGGTGGTTTGTTTGTTTTTCTAGGTAGAATAGAAAAGAGAGGGAAAGACATTGAGAAACATCGATGTGAGAGAAACATATCGATAAGTTGTCTCCTACACGAGCCCCACCTAGGATCCAGGCTGGGGAGGAGCCTGCAACCAAGGTACGTGCCCTTGACCAGAATTGAACATGGGACCCTTGGGTCCACAGGCCAACGCTCTAGCCACTGAGCCAAACCAGCTAAGGCTTGGGTGGTTCTTGTTCTTTTGATGGGATAGTGGTTTTTATTTAAGAGAGCATGTATCAATTTGCTGCCATGTCACTATTGTCTTGTTAATTAAAATAAACATCCTCTATATTACAGAGGTGTTGTTTTTTTTAATAAAAGAGACTAGAATTAAACCTCATTAGTTATACTTTCATATCAAAGAAAAGGTTTTTAAATATATCTTGAACATAGTTTCCTTATCTGCAAAATAGAAATGCCTAACAAAATTTCTGGAGAAACTTACTTATACTATAAAAACACCGATATGGCCGAAACAGGTTTGGCTCAGTGGATAGAGCCTGGGGACTGGAGGGTCCCAGGTTCCATTCCGGTCAAGGACATGTACCTTGGCTGCAGGCACATCCCCAGTAGGGGGTGTGCAGGAGGCAGCTGATCGATGATTCTCTCTCATCGATGTTTCTAACTCTCTATCTCTCTCCCTTCCTCTCTGTAAAAAATCAATAAAATATATTAAAACAAAAAGACAAAACAAAAAACAACAACACTGATATGTTAAAAGCAAATGTTTGGAGAAAGATATGTCATGATAGCACTAATAAAAAAAAAAGCTGGATGAAGCTATACTAATTTCAGGTAAAGCAGACTTCAGAAGAAGGATAACTATTAGGGATAACGAGGGGCAACTATGATACATGATGATATAAGGGTCAATTTTTCAAGAAGACACAGAAGTTCTTTTTTTTTAATTTATCTTTATTGCTGAAAGTATTACAGTTGTTCCCTTTTCCCCCTTCTAGCCTGCCCCTGTTGAATATGTGCCTAACAACAGAGCATCAACATATATGAGACATAACTAGTAGAACTGCAAGCAGAAATTGACAAAAACCACAATTACATTTGGAGATTGCAACCCCCTCTTTCAGTAGCCAATAGATCAAGCAGGAGGAACATTGTAAGGATATCGTTGACCTGAACAGTACCACTGACCAACTCACTCTAACTCTTATAGAATGAGTCATCCAGCAACAACAGAGCTCACATTCTTCTCAAGCTCTCATGACGCATTTTCCAAGACAGACCGCATTCTAGGCCATAAAACACACCAAAACAAACTTGAAAGAATAGAAATCACACAAAGTACAGTTGACCCATGAGCAAACAAGTTTGAACTGCACAGATCCACTTACATGCAGATTCTTAAAACTCAGTATTCAGTCAGTCCTCCACACCACAGGTTTCACATCCATGGCTTCAGACAACTGTAGACTGAAAAGAGAATCTTTGATCTGTGGTGGGAATGGACTTATTTCAGAGGGCTGATTTAAGTTTTATGCAGCTTTCCAACGGGGAGGCAGGCGCTGGGCAATGGTGCCCCTAACCCCTGCCCAAGCTGTTCAAGAGTCAACTTTATACTCTCAGACCACAAAAATTAAACCAGAAACCAGTAACACAAAGCTAGAAAAATCCCCAAATACTAGGACTTTAAATAATACAACACTAAATAACACAAGTCAAGGAAGAGGACTCAAGAGAATTTAAAAAATTATTAAAAACCAAATGAAAACACAACATATCAAAGTTTGTGAAAGGTAGCAAAAGCAGTGTTTAGAGGGAAATTTCTAGCATTAAATGTATTCGTGAGAAGAGAAAATTAGGGTCTAAAATCAGTGGTCTAAGCATTTACCTTTAAAGTATGAATAAATAAGCAAACTATAATATCTCCATACAATAAAATATTAGTATATAATAAAAAGGTATGCACTTATCAAGCCATGGAAAGACATGGAGGAACCTTGGTGAAACCAGCCAATACAAAGGCCACATACTATATGAACCTAATTATATATCACTAGAGGCCCAATGCACAAAAATTCATGTAAGAGTAGGCCTTCCTTCCCCTGGCTGCCGGCACCAGCTTCCCGCCGGCACCCGGGATCTGGACTTCCCTCCTCCAGCCACCTGCAGGCACCTGGGACCCGGGCTGCTTCCTTTCTGCCCTGGCTTTGTCAAGAAGGACGTCTGGAATGCCATCTGGAAGATGCCCATTCTAATTAGCATATTACCCTTTTATTATTATAGATTCTGAAAAATTCGAAACCATAGAAAGAGTAAAATGATGGTTTTTGTTTTTGGTTTTGGTTTTGTTTTTGTTTTTGTTTTTGGACAGTGGTTGCCAGTAGTTCATGGAGGTAAAGAGGAAGGACAAACAAGTGAAGCAGGAATTTTAGGGCAGTAAAATGGATCTGTATAATACTGTAATTTTGGATACAAGATTGGTCAAATCCCAACGAACTACTGTATACAGCACAAGAAGCAGACCGTAAGGTAGGCAAATTGTTAAAGATCATTTAGGAGATTGGGGATCCCAGGAAGAAATGCAGATGGTGACAAGAGAATCTAACTTCATTGAAAATGTAGGAAACAACCTCACCCAAGGGCATTGGGGCTCAAGGTGCTGCTCCAAGTGCCTTTGGAAGTGAGACGAGCCTGGTAAGATTAAGGCGCCAGGAGCTGCTTACGAGCACTGTACTCCAGTGGATAAAACAGTTTCCCAGGAGGGTACAGGTTAACAATTCTGATCCTGCTATATATGTATGTATACTGGGATTGAAAAATTATCTAAACTGTGGCAGATGGTGGGAGTGGTAGTTTATGGATAAGCAAGAGGAGGAAACATTTTAAAAAGTAGGAAGTGCACACAATATATGTGAACAGTTTTGTATGTTAATCATTATTTACACATTTATTTATACCCTGAGGGCATTTTAAATGACACATAAAGTATTATTTTCACATTATTTCATGCATAATTTGGATCATGTACAGCAGAGATGAGGGACTAATCTGAAAAGCTCAGAACATTTTCAGACAGTTTTTAACAAATAGGTGTATCTTCTGAAGAGATCATTTAATTTGTCTCTTCAGATTCTGCTCAGTGGTCTGTAGAAGCTGTGAATATCAGAGCAACTTATTATGATAAAGCAAAAGAAGCATGTTATTTAGAAAGCAAAGCTTTAAAACATAATACTAACTGCTCTTAAGCGATGCCAAAAAGTGTAGAGAGAAAGTAGATAGAAAACGGAATGTTGCTATTTGGTTTGGGATACAACTAAATACCTGGATGTTTCCAAATAGTCATATTTTTAACATAACATAGTCCAAGCATCTGGATATTTGAATTTTTCTCTTTCCAGCTGATAGTGCTGATATGGTTTAGATATAGGCAGAGCCTCAGAATTAAATTATTTCCACATGCTTTTAACAGTGTTCAATTAAAAATAAAATTTCATTCAACCCCATCCTCTCCACCCTCTTTTATGTCTCCTACTTTTCGTATCTGCAGAAAATAGCAGGAGAGGTTGCCAAAAAAGCACCCTTTTCCTTCCCTTCAACCCAATGGAGAGAGCCTGTTAACTACTTACACAAAATTGGTGTTTCAGACGCACTGTTAACTTGCCTCGATACACTGGCAAATCCTTAAGCCACAGAGAGAAACATTGCTCTATTTAAAACAAACTCCCTGCCTATTAATAGCTGTGAAACACTAGAATATACTACTATACCAATAAACCATTAGGTCTGTCCAAAGGTTTTTAAAAGGAGGCAAGGCACAAATATACACATACTTATGTAATATTGCAGAAGCTCCTTTAACAGTTTAAATAGCAAAATCAACAGTCTGAATTGAAGATAGAAATCTAGACCTAGTGGATTTCTAAGAATCCTTCATATGCCATGATTCCATTATTTTACTTACTCATTTTATGCCCACACTTCCCTCCATTGCCTTTATTCTGATAGCACAATATTCTTGGAGTCGATTATGTACATGATGATTTTCTGCTTACCTCTAGCATCCCCCTGCTGTCCCTCCATCCCACCCATACAAGTACACACAGACATGTGTACACGTGGCTGCAAACATAGTAGTTTAGGATTTGCAGTGCAAAGGAAATAAGTATCACATACATACATAACTTCCCTTCTTTCCTTCCTCCCTCCCTCTTTCCCTTCCTTCCTTTCCTTCCTTCCTTCCTTCCTTCCTTCCTTCCTTCCTTCCTTCCTTCCTTCCTTCCTTCCTTCCTTCCACCCTCCCTCCCTTCCTTATCGTGTGACCCATTCACCATCCTGTACAACTAGACAAAAGATATCTTTGTTTTGTCTTGACTTGCAATTCTTTCCATATTCATCCATAATGCATGGTAAAAGGAAAAACATGGTACCACTGGGCAGCATCTGATCCGTCAGGACAATTCTCCTGCCATGATGTGTGGGTGGGGAGAAGGTGGGTGATGTGATCCAGATGCAGGGCCAGTCATGCAGATGTGTTTTATATGCACATGCCCAGATGGTGACCCCTCTGGCATCATTAATGTGTCCCAGCTGCCAGGTTCGTCTGTTGCATGCATGCACCTCAAGTTCACATATTTCTTGTGTTTATTTATGAGGCACAACATTCCTACATTTCATATGAGGCAGTTACTATTAAAAAATAAGAGGTTTTAACTGCTCTGGAAATTGATAAAGAATTTTTTAAATTGCTATGAAATGTGGCCCTCATTTCAAAAGAACTTCTCTGTACAATCATTTAATTCGTAACACAAATTTCTGACCTTTGTTCTTATATGTTGAGAAAATGTGGTGCATGGTTTAGACTTTAAAGATAGTTAATAAATTGAATATTTGTATGCAGAATACATTATAATGATATATATTAGTTGCTTTCCTTTTATTTCTAATCTCCAATGCCTATTTTTTTTAAGTTGCAGATCTATATATTTGAACATTGTTATTTTCTATTAATTAAATCCAGGCAGCAAGTAAGAGAAATTTGGGATTTTCCAGGAATGGGTTGTATTTATAAATCCACAAGGAGATAACTAGTTTTATAAAAATACAGTCCAATGATCACTTCAAACTATTATGGATTATAACTCCACCGATTTGAGGAATTAATTAGTCTTGTAAAATTTGGTTTCTAACCTAAAGTATAAAATATGGGAACATGGTAGTTTCACTGAATTAAAATGAACCAATTCAAATTTTTATTAAAAAAAAAAAAAAGAAAGAACTTCAGTGTATTTATGGGGGAAGTAAAAAGATGAATCAAATTTTTAAAACAGAGAGATGAAAAATGTAAGTGACAGGTAATCAGATTTTGAAAGATGGGGTTCATATCCATTTCCTTCTTTGATATCAGAAGTAATGAATTAAAAAATTCAAAACCTACATAGATGACTATCTCCACAATAAGCAAAAAGAAATGAGTTCCACACTTCTTCTCAGCAGTAGAGGGTCAGTCTGATTGACTTAGCTTAATGATTGAATGTTGACCTATGAACTAGGAGGTCACGGTAAGATTTCCAGTCAGGGCACATTCTTGGATTTCAGGCTCAGTCCCCTGTGTGGGGCATGCAGGAGGCAAACAATCAACGGTTCTCAATCATCATTGATATTTTTATCTCTCCCTCTTCCTCCTCTCTGAAATCAATAAAAATATATACATATTTTTAAATGAGTTATTTAAAAAAAAAACAATAAAAACTCAAAGTTTCTAATGCTGCATGTTAAAAGAAGTGAATCTTGAGTCTTGGTTTCTTCACATATGGTTTCTGGTCCTCACAAAAACTATTCTACTTCCTTAAGGAAGCCTGTTTTTCCTATTTGAGTATATATACATACTAGAGGCCCAGTTCATGAAATTCGTGCATGGGGGAGGGGGGTGTCCTTCAGCCCAGCCTGCACCCTATCCAATCTGGGACTGCTGTTTCCCAACTGCTCGCCTGCCTGCCTTCCTGATTGCCCCTAACTGCTTCTGCCTGCCAGCCTGATCACCCCCTAACCACTCCCCTGACAGCCTGATTGATGTCTAATTGCTCCCCTGACAGCCTATTTGCCCCTAACTGCCCTCCCTTACAGACCTGGTCCCTCCCAACTACCCTCCCTTGCTGGCCATCTTGTGGTGGCCATCTTATGTCCACATGGGGGCAGTCATCTCTGACCACATGGGGCCAGCCATCTTGTGGGTTAGAGTTACTCTTTTATTAGATAGGATAGAGGCCTGGTGCATGGGTGGGGGCCAGATGGTTTTCCCTGAAGTGTGTCTAGATCAGGGTAGGGGTTCCCTTTGGGTGTGGGGCGGCCTGGGTGAGGAGCCTGTGGTGGTTTGCAGACCGGCCATGCCCCCCAGAGACCCAAGCAGAGGCCCTGGTATCTGGGATTTATTTATCTTCTATAATTGAAACTTTGAAGCCTTGAGTGGAGTCCAGGGCCAGCCAGGGTGTGCAGGAAGCATAGCTTCCTCCATTGCCGGGGAAACCCAAACCTCCTGCTTGCTCAATGGCCACAGCCATCTTGGTTGGGTTGATTTGCATACTCACTCCTGATTGGCTGGTGGGCATGGCTTGTGGGTGTAGCAGAGATACAGTTAACTTGCATATTACTCTTTTATTAGATAGGATATATATTTCATAAGTAGGTTGGAAAATTAAAGCTATTTTCTGACTAATTCAGGCAAAAGTAAAGAATATGTATCCTTCCTTGGAAGTACTGCCTTGAATTCTAAAACAAAAAGCAGGTTATAGGATAGTTTTTCTGAACTCTTTAGATAGTTATCTCACATTTGCTCCATGTGTATTTTCGTTCGAATGCATATATATAATGAGAACTGTACTGTTCTCTGAAAGATTTAGAGCAAAGCTAAGATTATGAATCCAGGTTGTTTTAGGGATGAAGCAATTAAAAAGGATTGAAAAGCCTGGGAAATATCTTCTTATTTGACATGGAAAAGAGAATGGTGTCGCCTTTTTCACTTACATCTTGAGGTTCTATCAAATTTGGTTATTGACCTTTGGACTATTATAATCAAGATCTTATTAAAAGATCCAAAAATACATTCGTACACTCTTTTTTTTAAAAGCCACCTCCTTTTATCTTTTTCAAACTTATAAAGGGTTTATTTGTTATTTCATATATATATATTTAGTTTTGAAATATAAGACTTTAAATGTATTAAGAGACAATTTCTATTAGAAAGTTTTCATTGTGTAAGGCCACCTCCTTTAATTACAAAGATGAAGAGAGTAAAGACAACAAATAAATTACATCAGCCTTTGTTTATACCCAGATGACATCTGTACATGCATGCTATAACAACTCTTTCTACATCCTGGCAAGCATGATTAATCAATCATGATTCTCTTTAACACAAAATCAGGACCCACGCTTAGAATCCTACTCAACAGAGCATTGCCAGGTGCCACCACCAATTAAAGTCCACACCGGAAATTAAACCTTGTTGCCATTCTCTTCTTATACTGGTGCTGAGTAAATAATAGGTGGTTAGTCTACAGATGATAAAACATAAAAGACCAAAGATTATTGTTATTGTTTAAACCTATCTGCTTTTCATAAGAGAGGTGAATAGCTTGTATTGTTACAGAAAACTGGAGAAGAACCAAGCAACGCTTAGAGAGATGGAGTTACATTTATTACGTGCAGGCCCAGAGGAAATGTCTCTCAAATTCTGGGCAAAATCACATAGGAAGTTTCCCGTATTTATACCTTTTTACCTTTGTTGTCTCCCAAATATGGGGTTTTCTGGTCGCCTTTGCAAGTTCTTAAAGAGCCCCTATGTGCTGGGGCTTTGAGACCTTGACCAAAGGCTTGGCCTGATGCCAGCACTGATAACTCCGTCTGGGGAAGGTTTAATGGCCTCTCTGAAATGGGAGTAGTCTTATTTTCCTTATTATTTAAGCAAGCAAGAATTTACAGAAGCCAAAATAGCAGGGTTAAAATTTCAAGCAGCAGTTTTTATATAAGATGGATGCTTCAGTATTAGGCCCAAACATTCTAACAAGTAGGAGTGTCAGTCACTACGGTAACCATATCAAGTCATTGACCTCCAGCCCATCAGTATAGTCCTGCTCCCTGCCATGCAAGCTTGAGGCCAGCCAACTTACAGAACCATCTGATGGCTACTTGGACTCAGGTCAGTGGTATAGACCACAAATAAGGACAGGAGATAGTCTGATCCATGTCTTAGGGCTTCCTGGAAAAGGCAGTAGAAACCAGAGGAAAGACAAGAAGCAAATGGTGGGTTGCAAATCTAATAGTCAGGGTTGAGGGAACAGCACAGTTAACCTCACAGCATGCACTGGGACAGCAGGCAGAAGCCTCCAGAAGCTGCTGGGACACCACTGCCTTGAGATCAGGTGCATTTGCATGTGTGCCCACTGTAGTAACCACAGTCCCTGAGCTCCGTGCAGTACTGTTTGCTGGGCGCTTTCCCTTCAGGGATTTCTTTTGATCCTCACCTCAGTCAGCATAGGCAGGTGGGGCAGGCATTGTTATTTCCCATTTTACAACTGAAAGGAAGCTCCTTTATCCAAAATCACATCACTGTCCAAGCCTGTCTTTGCTTTCATCTGAGATATCCCAAAGAAAGAAAGTGTCAGAAGCTGGGTATTTTGAATTATTTCCCATTCGAGTTTTCAGATAATTGTGCCAGTCCGCTCCATGCGCGTGTTACAGAGGAGGTTGCAGCTGAATGATTAACCAGTTGAGTGTTACAGACAGGATTCTGAATCGTTTGACGATGGGCATGCCCTTCTGGGCCCTCAGTCATTGAAAGAGACTTTCTGTTCATCTCTCTAACAGCTGGTGACCCTGTTGCAGATGTGGGTTGTCCCTTTGTATTTCACAATAAAACTTTACTGGTGGCGGTTTCTGTCTATGTGGGGAATGTTCTCAGTTATCACCAGTTACATCCTCTTCAAAGCAACGCGAAAGCCCCTCTCTGGGAGAACACCCCGGTAGGTATTCCACGTGTTTCTTCTCCACCATCCCCTTTATTATAAACACTAAAGAGTATATTTAACTTCCATTTTCCTGAAAAGCAGGGGTAGGGAGGTGGAATATTATGCTTCTTTTTTTTGTTTGTTTTCAGTAACAAAACTGTTTGGAGATTAGCCATAACACTGTCAGTTCACATTCGTTATTTAATGGTGATTCAGACATGCCTGTAAAATTTATTACTTTAGCTATTAAGCAGTGAAGTAGGCCAGGGAGAAAGAGAAGTGAAACTGTTAAGTTTTCTAGAGCACTGTTTGCATGTTTATTTTTAACTCAGCATTTTGTTTATTCTACTGTAAGGTGTCATGCACATTTTATAAGAGAGCAAGAGTTAGAAGTCCATATTTTTAACAACTGCATGAGGTTTGTATCTGATAAATCATAAGGAGTGATTTATTACTCTCATAACAAATGAGGCTTTAAAACTCCATTGATCATTTTTAATGACCATTGTCAACCTCTGGACATTTATATAATTTCATCACATTATTCACATCTTTCCAAAGTGCTTATAATGTACCCACAAGCTTGCTCTCCCTCTCCTTGTTCTTTAGATAAAATCTGAACCCAATTCCAGCTAAAACTGGAATAAGAGAAAGAGAAAACAGGTAAAGTGTTTAATGGTAGTAAGACAATGCCATTTAATGGTAATAAAGACAAATTATCTTTGTCAGGAAATAAGTCATAAAGGCCTGTAAAACATTTTTAGATTCTTTAGCCATTCAGATGTTTGTGTTTAATCCTCTAAAAAAGTGGGATAGCCCTAACCGGTTTGGCTCAGTAAAAAGAGCATTGGCCTGCAGACTGAAGGGCCCCAGGTTTGATTCTGGTCAAGAGCATGTACCTTGGTTGCGGGCACATACCCAGTAGGGGGTGTGCAGGAGGCAGCTGATCGATGTTTCTCTCTCATCGATGTTTCTAACTCTCTATCCCTCTCCCTCCTCCCTGTAAAAAAATCAATAAAATATTTATTTTTTTTAAAGTGAGAGAGACAAGATCAAGTTTTCCTTCTAGTATGGAGAAGGAAAAATATGCAGTAAGAGAAATTAGATCAATACATGTCATGATAAAGATTTAAATTCAAATAAATGAATTTAGGTGATGAGCACTGTAATTTAATCCCATGTGGGGAAGTGCTTGGGGTGGTGTTAGGAGACCTATACTGGCCAGTTTGAGGTCTTAGTCTTTGTAAGGACCTGGCTCCTCCATCAGCAAATGGGCAGTTGGGACCTTTCCTTCCTACAAAATGTTGTAAGTTATTTAAGATTTGTGATGTGATCTAAGTTTTGGATGAATTGAAATGTACTTCCTTTCATATCCTGGATATAATCTACATGTATTTCAATTAAAGCAGTTTTCTTTTCCAGTGCACAATGCATTCCCCTGGTGAAATGCAGTCCTTCTGTGCACATCAGCTCATTCAATGCTGAGAACTTCGCCACAGGAAATACCCAAATGCTGTCCTCTTACCCCCATGGCTCCGATAGCTCAGATGGCCGTACCCACAGTGCACCCATGTCAGCTTCTTCCTCCCTGCAATAGTCTGAGGGCCACGCTACTCCACTCACATGTTATGAAGATCCAGCTGCCGCTTGGAGAGAAACGATGGAAGAGGCTAATTAGGGTCCCTTTCCTTTTAGAAAAGCAGTAAGGATAAAGAAACTCACTGAGCAGAGGTTGCGGGCCCTAAGCATCTGTGTGGATCTTTGCTTCATCATCACATTATAGCAAATGTGCATGGTGCGGAAGGCAAATCCCAGAGGAGTGGTCTTCGGTGCCAACGCAGTTTAAAAACCGGCTGTTCCTCCCCCAGAGCACTCAAAGCCTTGGCTGAGGGGCAGAGTTGCAGATAAGAAGTGGGTTTCATTTTGACTATGGTCGGGTTGTCTGTCAAGCAATGTTCGGGCTCAGAAATAGGCCACCAAGAGCTTGGCCTGATCCCATCAAGTCTCAGTGGACGCTGCTCTGACGGCCCTACGCCAGCTTCTGTTCTGGCTTATCTGTAATCAAATTAACAAGGAAGTTTTGGGCTCTGGGAACCTGTACCCCCAAAAGGAGGACAATTTAAGGGGTGATATTTGGAAAAGCTAATACTGTACATCTCTCATGATAATGACACAGTAAGCATTTAATGTGCCAAGTCTTTGAAACATAAATGCATTATCTCACAAAACCTTCAGGGCGATTTAGAAGCTGGTGTTATCATCCTCCCTTTACAAATGAGCAATCACAGGAAGAAATGTGGAGGGCAGCCAGGTAGTAAGTGGCAGAGCCCAGAAACAACCCAAAGATGGCCGAAATGCCACGCCCCTGCTCCCAACAGCAGGCTGTGGCTTAATTATTATACATCCACAAACTGCTTTGCTCAGAGAAACCCTGCACTTACAGAGGTTGTTGGGAACACCTCTGGTGCTGGCACCACCTTGAGAGGGCCCTGCAGGTAGAGAGAGGATGTGTGGAGTTCAAGGAACCCCACTCTGGTGCCCGCTGGTGTTTTGGGGTGAAGTGGGAGCTCCTTTCGAGATTGGCCACTTTTCCCATCGTCACCCCCTTTAGCAACACAAACTTCCACCTTGATCTGGCTGCTCTAAGCAAAGACTCAGACTGTTCAGCACTGGCACAACAAAAGGACTCACACCACGGCCCAGGGAGACGCTCTGGCCCCAAAGCCACTCTGGCCCCTTTAGTGATGTCACAGCCTCACAGTGATTGGAGTCACCTCCTGCAGGTTTCCCCGCTCTGCCTCGTAACTCCTCACTGTGAGGCCTTCCTCAGGCAGGATTATACTTGGAGGAGGAGTGCTGATGCCCACCCCACCCGCCCCATCCTAACCTCTAAACTGCCCTGTATGTGAGTTGCTTGAAATGAAGAAAGCATTCCACCCTAGAAATTATGTAAACGACAATTCATTTCTCCAGTTAGCCCACAACCTCCACTTAAAACATGTTTCAGAAAGTCCCTTCTGATTGGAACTCAGTGAAGTGGGGTACCTTTTAAAATAACATCAAAACATTACATAAAACCAACTGGCATGGCTCAGTGGTTGAGCATCAGCCTATGAATCAGGAGATCACGGTTCAATTCCTAGTCAGGGCATATGCCTGGGTTGCAAGTTCGATCCCTAGTGTGGGGTGTGCAAGAGGCAGCTGATCAATGATTCTCTCTCATCATTGATGTTTCTATCTCTTCCCCTCTGAAATCAATAAAAATATATATATATTTAAGAACCACTACATTAGTAATAACACAGAACGAAAGCATCTGATGCAATGGCTCCAACAGGGAGGAAGCCAGGGGAGGTGGGAGAGTTGAGGACAGGGTTCCAGGGGTTGGAGGTGAGAGGGTGGGGTCAGGTTTCTGGAGTGAGACTCTAAATGAAGTTTGGTGTAGGAGGCAGGAGAGGGGCTTCAGGAGGATGAGGAAAGAAAGGACTGAGAGGCAAGCAGGACCTTTAGAGCATCAGTCCAGCCACCCCCATTGTCTCTGGGCACCAAAGGCAGCCTCCCAGCTAGCGGCTCCTCCTTCCACCACCTCTTCCTGCCTCGGGGCAGGAGTAGGGGGCACTTGTACCACACACCAGGAATGGAACTGGGCGCCAGCCTCCTTCTCAGGCATGAAGCAGCCTGTGGCCCATTGCATAGTTTTTCTAAGGATTTTACTCTCAGGGCTGAGGGGAAGAAACAGGGTTCCCTTATAGATCAACTCCACTCCATCCTCCATCCCCATCCTCTCACTTCTCCACCGAGGCCCTGTGGGAAGAAGGAAAGGCCTTAAGAGAGGTCATGGTTAAGGCATCCATCCAATGAGCAGGAAAAAACTAGGCTAAAGTACTCTTGCAAGTTCATCCCAGGGCTAGGGGAGGAGCTCTTTGATGGAGATGAGATGGGATGAGGGATGAGGTTGTTTACTCTGGGGCTGGGGGCAGCAGAAGGAGCAGGAGGAAAAGTAACTCCTGGAGGAGGTGCTGTCTCCTCTTGACTTCTCCTCCCAACTTTGCTTGTCCCTCCAAGGTACTCCTGCCAAAAGCACTCTAAGCTAACCAACCTTGGAGCCAAATGGGAAAAGGAAGGGAAGGAAGAGGCAGGGTGCCAGTTAGCGTAACCATCGGCCATTTTTACTTGAGGAAGATGGGTAAATTACAATGAATTTACATATGCATATACTCAGAAACACATGTACATGGTAGCTGATATAATATACGTATGTTCTTTGTATTACATAATAAGCAGAACTTTAGAAACTCAAAACTGACTTATGACAATGTTTAAAAAAGATAAAATACATCAAGCTCTGTGTTTCTCCCCATTTTTCACTTCACAGATTGGTCTACAAATGGTTTCTTCTCATCTATAAACTCAGCTACACATTTGGTGTTGTGGGTTATTTGGCTATCCTATTTTCACTGAGTGGAATTCATTTATTTTTCAAGTAAGTATATCCAATGAAGACATTAATATCTCCAAGCACTTGCTTGGAACATTCATCTGGTTAAATTCTCTGTGTCTATATCTTGTTTATTTGCAAAAAAAAAAAAAAAAAAAAAAAAAAAAAAAAAAGCACCCCTTTACTTAAACCACCTAGAAAAGAACATTCTAAAGGAAGTTATACAGCTTAATGATCCACATAAATTATTGAGAAAATACCAATGCATGCAACAACTTTTATGACAAATGAATATTTTTCACGTTCTTTTTAATTGATTGATTTTAAATCCTCACCCAAAGAGTAAGGATACTTTTTCCATTTGATTTTAAAGAAAGTAGAAGAGATGGAGATGGGATGAGGGCCTGGGGTTGGGGGAGGGGGCTAGAAGGAGTAAATAAAGCATCTATCTATCTATCTATCTCCAGGCAAATCTTGAAAGGATGAAGCTGCCACCTATATTGGAATTCCCAAGTCACATCACAAAAGATCTGTACCCTCTAAGTCTACAAACTCTCTACCTTTACATTTCCATCTCAAATTAACAGAGCCTAAAAACACCCAGAATAAAGTTCCTGAGACAGACTACCCAACTCCTCTCCACTCCCTTCCCGATTCAATCAGACCCACCCAGGCCTATTGCTAATATTGAGATTGTTGGGAGATATAACAAACCAAATATGCAATGATTAAGATTTAGAAATTAAATTAGAGACTAATTATTTACTTTTTAAATAAAGGTCTTCCTCTTGAAAAAGAAAGGAGGTTCTAATAGACAATCCTATTATATTTAAAATATATTCCAACTTGCAAAAAAAAAATTTTTTTTTTGTCTAATACCTGACAACTACAGTATAGTAGCAAAAGGTCTCAAAACTTGAGATTGATTCTTGACTCTGTGTCAAGTATTTGAAAGCATTATGTAAAGTCTGAGGTCTAAAGCAAGGATCTCAACCCTAGCTGTGTTACAGTTGTTATCTACAGAGCTCCTAAAAAACACTTCCTTGCAGACTCCACCCAAGGCCACCTAATCAGAGCTTTTGAAGAGGGCTCACATACCAGTCTAGTTTTAAATTTCTTCCATGATCCTAATCTATATTTAGGGCTGAAAACTATTGCTCTGTTAAAGAGGTTTGAAATGTTACCTGCCCAGTGGGATACCTGGGGTCCAGAGAGCTTCCAAAAATATTGCTGCACAGGCCTCATCCCCACAGATGGTGATGTAATTGCTGCCCAGGTCCTTATATGCTCAGACCAGCTAGAGAACCATTGGTTAGAATCAGTTTGTCTAAGGACTGCTATCTTAAGCAGCATTTGAAAACTCTCTCAAGAATTACTTTGTCCACTTAGCACTGAGAGGTAAAATTTTAGGGAAATTTAGAGAATTTAAGATTTTTTCATTAACAAAAAGGCAAACTACACCAATCAATGAGGGGAAAAATACCCCCAAGTTTCTATTCAATATTGTGGCAGGAAATATTCTCTTAGCAGCAATACCCCCACTGCCTCCCAAATGCCACATTCCTATTTTCTTGTCCTGCTGTTTTCAATAGAATCAAGGCAAGAGATTCCATGGATTTTGGCATTGTGTCGCTGTTCTATGGCCTCTACTATGGCATAATGGGGAGAGACTTCGCAGAGATCTGCTCGGATTACATGGCTTCTACTATAGGGGTAAGTGTTGCTTTTATTATTTGTAACCACTTGTGGGTACATGGAGAAATGGTCTCATCTGACACCATATTTGCATCCATTTTCAGAAATCAATAAATCTTTCTTGGTTTTCTCAGCCAAATTGCTCCTTGGATTCTCCTTGCACCAAAAATTGTCTTTGCTAATTAATTAAGAAAAGACATTTCTCCTTGATATAAAGTGGTTAGGAAAGAAAGCATCTTTTAAAATAAAATGTACCCATTATTTGGAAGTAACCATATCTAGCATACTCCAATTTGCCATCATTTAAAATATTAAAAATTCAAAAATACCAAAAATCCATTATTTTTGCCTACTACAAATAAAAGCCATATTTGATGCAACTAAAACACTTTAGAATCAACCAGTGCCTCAGGGTAATACTCATCATAAAGATTGGTTATTGTTATATAGCATGTGAAGAAATAAATAATATAAAAAGTATGTTGAATGTAATTCTGACTGTATATTGTTCCCTAGAATTAAAAAAAAAAAATCCCTAATAGTTGAACTCTCTTAAAAATAAAACTCAGAATGGACATACTTGCTGGTTGGATGGATTTCAGAGTCGGATACTGGGAGCATCTATCTGTGTCTGACACATGCACATCTCTTAAACATAAACCAAAGCCTGCAGGGCGGACCTAGTGGTTTCAGGAATTCTCAGCCATGTCTCTTAGTACACAGCCGATCTGAAATGAAAAATCTAGTGTGAGCTGCAAGAATGAACTTCTGAACTGTTCTCTCTCTCCATTTATGGAGCAGGGCTAAGTGGACATTATCTTGATTTCCTTTCCACCTTCTCCATAGGCTCTATCTTACCCTTTTCCTTGAGATTGGAATCCAACTTCTGTGGTGAAATGTTGGAACAAGATACTTTGGGGATTTCTCTGCCATGTCTCACCTGTGGGCCAACTGCCTTTCTGATAAGGCTTAAAGTCAACAAAGGAAAAAGCATTTCCACTCCCAGTTCCTCCAACAAAAACCAAAAACCATACTCCTTTAAAAATTCCCAGGGCCTCTTGTGCTTGCTGATGGGCAAGAGAGGAAGAGAAGAGTTGTAACACCCTCGTGTCCAGTGGATCAGGAAGAAGAGATTTAACCCAGCAAGACAACCAAGTCTTGAAGCATCAACTTTCTGGAGACTTCTCACCTGATCACACCCATTCTATGTCTCACCTTCACTTCAGCTACCAAAAAACATAAACACAATGTCTCGAGCCATTGAAATAGTCCCCAGTGACTTGAATTGATGGTGTATGTGTGTGTTTGTGTGTGTGTGTGTGTGTGTGCGCACGCACGCACACACGCTCACAGGCACTGCAATCCTCTGAGGATTAAAAAATATAGAGATGCCTAGGTTTTCTCCAGAGCTATGAATCTCTGGGTAAGTTTAAAAGCTTCCTATGTGATTCTGAGCTACATCCCTGAATATAAACTGTTCCTCTTGAAGGATTCCTTTGTTGGAAGATTAGAGTGGAGATTATACTTAGCAATGTACTTTGGGTCTATTTGGGGTTCCCTGGATATTTGTCTGGAAGCCTCACACAGACTAGCATCATTCCTATGGGAAAAAGTGTTTCAAGTTCTAAACCAACAAGAAAGCAGTAAAGATAGTGTCTTCCCTGTGTCAGAGAATGGTCTGTGCTCTCCTGTTCAGCAATGCTGTGCATTTCTCCCAACAGTTCTACAGTGACAGTGGGATGCCCACAAGGAGCTTGTCAGACAGCATCTGTGCTGTCTGTGGACAAAAAATCATTGTGGAGCTCAATGAAGAGGGGCTCATTGAAAACACTTACCAGCTTTCCTGCAATCACGTGTATCCTTTTCATGGGAAACCATTTGGTCTTCGTGAAGCAATCCTGGGAGGCACATTTCTAATAATCTGTGTTGGGTATGGGAGATGGCAAGTCAGGTAAGACTGTCTCCTCACCTGCCCTCCTTCCTCTCCTCCTCCGGTCCCTATCTCCCCTGCTTTGCTCATTTCCCAGGCCTTTATCCTTCTGCCCCTCTTTCTTCTTGAGACTTTCTGATCATCCCTGCGAATAATGAACTGCTAATTTAAAGTGAACCTTCTGCTCCAGTAATTTCCTTTTTAAAAAGGAATCTTAGTGCCACAAGGACAGGAAGACTCAGCATCTGTATAGGATGCTGACTTGACCGTTGGTGAAGCCATAAGTGAACAGGTAGCCAAGAGGGACCAGGGAAAGAAGGGGTCAAGGGTTGATTTAAAAAAAAAAAAAAGAGTCAAGTTTTAGGTGCAGGGAGGAACTCGGGACTATGTGGGTGAAGCCCCATATCTGAATCTCACAGGGCGAAGAACGACAAGGTGTATTTTGCTTTGACATCCTTATGTCATTGGTAGTAATGAGTGCAGGCAAACATTAGCTTTGGTCCTGCAAAGAGGATACTGCCACAGGCAACAGGACACTGTAGATTACAAAAGGAGGAACCAAATTGATAGCACCTAGTTCTTGGACCATTTGGCTCCTTTACCTATGAGTTCTGCCCTGAACAGCTACCTACTGGCTGAAGGATCTTGGATGTTATGAACCAGTCAAGCCCAGGCATTCTCTGGGAACTCCAGTAACTACAGAGGAGAACCTCAATACGTGGAAAGACGCCAAGATCAAGAGCCCTGAGTGAGGCAGCCTGTACTGCCTATGCATGTGCCTCTGGATAGCAAAGTTGTGCTTGGGCTGGCCAACAACCAGTATTTTAACTCTTTTCTAAGTACATAATACTTTACTTTATAGTGTAATATCAATTTTACAATATTGCTATACACTCATTTCATAGCTCTGGCAACATGAGGCAGTTAAACTATCTGCCTCTTGCCTGCAAAACCCATCTACTTCAATCAGTAAGATTCTAGATGTGCAGCACTTATGACTCAATTCTCTTTAATTCAGATAGATTACACTTATTCAATCCTGAGAGTAAAACACTGGATCAGATGCATTTGAAATATATATATACTTATATATAGAATTGATTTTTTTTACAGAGAGGAAGGGAGAGAGATAGCCAGAAACATCGATGAGAGCCAGAAACATCGACCAGCTGCCTCCTGCACACCCCCTACCGGGATGTGCCTGCAACCAATGTATATGCCCTTGACTGGAATCGAACCTGGGACCTTTCAGTTCACAGACCAATGCTCTACCACTAAGCCAAACCGGTTTTGGCTGCATTTAAATTTTAAAGAAACCTTTGCTCCAACATTTAGGCTTTAACATGTTAAGGTAAGAAACAAAGATATCCCATATGGAACTCAATGTTAGTTTTCCAGTGGGATACCTTTCCCCCCAAAAAAACTATCATTCTTAATAGAAAATTTCCAAGTCTGGCTTTAGTTTTCAATATGACCTACTTTTCAAATGTTGGAACAGAGCCCCTGCTGCCTTTTGCAGGTGGAAATATTTTCTCTCTCCACCTTTAAAAGCCCTTAGGAATCATTGTACATGTGCGCATATGTAATCCAAAATGCAGTTATCTTTAAATTTGCTTTGCAGGGAGTATTATTAATGGCTCATTTTAGCATGAGTTATATTAGCCAGAATCAGGCAAACTTGAGTCCAGTTAACAAGGCAGGGGCAGCTGGGACCGGTTTGGCTCAGTGGATAGAGCGTCAGCCTGCGGACTGAAAGGTCCCGGGTTCGATTCCAGTCAAGGGCATGTACCTTGGTTGCGGGCACATCTCCGGTAGGGGGTGTGCAAGAATCAGCTGGTTGATGTTTCTCTCTCATCGACATTTCTAACTCTCTGTTCCTCTCAATTCCTCTCTGTGTAAAATCAATAAAATGTATTTAAAAATTAAAAAAAAAAAAAAAACCAAGGCAGGGGCACAGATCTGGGTCTAGCTCTGGGGCAAAGAAGTGTGGAGATTCTAGAGATGAAAGAGGATATTAAAGAGGAGGTGGACTTTTCAATTCCGGCTCCAGCCCTTTCAAATGAAGGTCCATATGGGTTTTGCTTCAAATCTTTGTTATAATACATCACTTTATCTCCACCCAAACGTGTTGCAAAAGTGACTCCAATTCCAAGAATATAAAATAGTGGAAACTGTTAGTTGCACACAGATCTAATATAGAGGAATTATTCACATGGCCTTGATTGTCTACACCTCCACGACCCTCCATTTGTCAGGGCAGGGCCTTTTATATCATTGCTGTTCACATGGGTGTGTGGTAGGCCAGGCAGTAAATCATGAGATCTTGATCTAAAAAGCCACCTTAATATCAATGGCCATAGAAATAAGTGAATCAATAGGATGGGTCTCATTATACAATAGGTCATCATCATACCCAAATCAACAATGTTATCCTACCCAAATCATGGATGTTGTGGAACCTGGGAAAATGTATTTGCAAAAGCAATTGGCTTTGAGTGTTTCATCCAAATATTCATGCAATTCATAGGCACTTAGGCTCCACCTAAGGTGCTGAGGACAGAGATGAATGAGATGTAGCATATGGTCCAAAAGAGACATGTGAGCAGACAGTCATGATACAGTGAAACGTATGTGCTGTGGGAAACAGGGTTCACTCTCAACTTTGGAAGCAAAGGACCAGTCTTTCTAGATAAGGGGATGTATACAATGAAATTTACAAATGCCTAGATATATTTTTTATTAAAAACAACCAGCTCCTTCAGAAATTAAAAATATAAGAAACTAACACAAAGATTTGTTAGTTTATGACCACAAAAAACTGAAATTCATCTAAGTGCCTAAGACAAGTCTGATCACGTATAGATAGTAATGCACAAGAGTAGAATAGTGAAATGATATGGGAAATGCATGAGAAATGCACAGTAAGCTGGGCAAAGAAATAAAATGATACATTTACATAAGATATTACCATAAAAATGCATCTTCACATTCTTAATCTAGTTTAATTCTTGTGGGAATAAAGTGAGGCCAAGAAGCTTGGTAACTCCCCAGGGCCATAAAGCTATTGCAGCTCTGACTCCAAGCTCAGTCATGGGGGGTCCACTGTCCTCCAGGATCTCCCTCAAAAAGTGATGCACACAGTCAGGTCATAACTGGCAGGCATTCTCTCACCCTCCACTACTCCACACTACAGATGGAATCATTTCCAGCATGTCCTCACAAAGCAAACCTTGCCTTTCATATCTAGAAGCTTCCCTAACAAGATGCCCAAGCTTTCATGAATTCTGCATCCGAGGTTGGTGTATTGTTGGTAAAAAGCAGACCTGCCCTTACTGCAAAGAGAAGGTTGATTTGAAGAGGATGATCAGTAACCCGTATCCTTTAAAAAAAAAAAAAAAATAATAATAATAATAATAATAATAATAATAAGTTGTGAAACGTTATCTTGCATGTTTCTGGTGATGCATTCCTCTATCTAAACTTTCATTATCTTCATTGTAGCTACAACAGAAAACTCTGTTTTTTCAAAACACCTACCTCATCAAAACCACTTACTGGTCTCTTTTCTCCCTGCATCTGCTACTATTCTGGTTAGGAACTGAAGTGCCAACAGAGACATACTCTACTCTTTATATTGCATATGTTCCAGTATAAGGGCTTTAGTGGAAATGTGATGTGACATTGCAAAAGATAGGTAAATATATGGGAAAATGAGAGAGAGGGGGAAACAGAGAGAGAGAGAGAGAGAGAGAGAGAGAGAGAGAGAGAGAGAGAGAGAGAGAGAGAGAGAAAGTGAGCACTTGGAATTTTAATTTTAAAAGCCCCAAATATGAACTAGAATATGGAAAAGTATTTTTAAGATGTACCACATTTTACTACTTCCAGAACTAAGTAGAGCTTTCCCTTCTGGATTTTGGCTTTTTAAATTTCTTGCCATGCCTTCATTTTTTTTCTTAGGCTAAACCCTGTAATAAATATTGAAAGGAAATGAAGACCTACTGGCTTGGTTGGCTTATGGCAGCAACTAGGATTTTTAGAGACACCAGGATCCCTATCTAAATAAACCCAAATGTCATTAAGGCACAGGCAGGCCCAATCCAGAGCTGACTGCAAACACTCAGTCCTCAGCCACTGGTTCAAGGCTGTAATACACGTATCTCTTCCAGGAATGAATGGGATTACAACATACCCAGCTTTAAGCAGGAGGCATTGAGAGGTTGGTATCAACCTGCCAAATACCCTCTCTTCTCAGAAGAGACAGCCCTTCTATGCTTTCTGAGTCTCAGTCCCTTAACCTGTACAGTCATAAAGCAGATACCACCCTGGTTCTCTGCCTCTCACCAACCCTAAATGCATTTTTAACAATGACTGCTGGCAGCAACCTCCCTCCCCCAATCTCTGAGGTTTGAAAATTCAAGATAGACTTTCATGTAGGGCAGCAGAGGAGGCAGCACTGATGGGTCTTTGGGTCCTTAGAGCCTCACTCTAGCAATAGCCACCAGCTCCATCCCCAGGCCTGCAGCCACCAGCTCCATCCCCAGGCCTGCAGCCACCAGCTCCATCCCCAGGCCAGGCCTTTCTCAGTGAGTCCGTGCAACTCAAGCACAACCAAAGCTAAAGGTGTGTGATACTCCTTCCTCCTTCCTTTTCATCCGCTCTCCCAGAATTCCCATTCTTGTGTGAGAAGACCGAGCTCCGAACCATTTTGGGTGAATAACTTATAAAACCACAGTACATAAATCTTTGTTTTAAAATTGGTCACAATGTGATCATAAATGTCACCTTAAATGATCATTAAGATAATAAGGAAGAATTGGTTTATATTTATAATCTTTTGAGAATAAACTTTTGAATATTGCTGGTGCTCTTTTTTTACTAAATAGAAAACAAACAAACAAACAAAAAAAACCTGCATGTGAAAAACTACCTTCATGCATATAACATTGCTATCAGAGATATGATGTGTTAAGTCCCCTCAGCACAATTTATCAAAGATATCAGGAAAAGGTAGATCTTACCTATGAACACAAGTTCCCCTTTTTAATATACAATGAATTTCCTCTCAAGAGCTGCCCACAGGACATCCCAGAGCTGTTTTGCTCAGTTACAGTAGCTCCCATTACCCTTGACGTCCAATGCTCCCATTCCCCTCTTCCTCTTTCTTTCAGGATATGACCCTTGCCTTTTATTCTTGTTTTATAGTTGGGATTGTGGTATCAACTTTTATTATTAGAAATAATTATAACCAATGCTATAAAAATCATGTATAGAGTTTTTAAATGAGCACATAGAACTATGAGAGGAAATGCCCACTCATGCCATTGCTTATATTTGCAAATGATACTTATAAATATTTCTGCTATCTGGCCATATATAGAGCAACCTCCTTAACTGAGACGTAGCTGGGAGCGCACACACATTTTGTATGGACAAATCCTGGATTGGCTTCGTTATTTGGTAGCCTGGCAACCCATGGTGATAGGAATAGTTCAAGGCATTAACTACTCACTAGGGCTGGAATGATCAGGAAGCAAGGTGTTGCATGTTGATCTGTTTTCAAATCCTTGATTCTAGATTGACTATTGATATTCATTTTTTTTTTAATTTTAGAGATGATTCCATGAGTTTAGAGACCTGAATAAGATTGAATCGTCTACCTAGGGCAATTTATGTGGAAAGAATTTAAAGAACTGAACAACGAAATAAACAAAACACGTTCTGCATCTTTCCCATTACGGTTGTTTTCTAATCCACACATGCAACCCGTGTATTACAAACGCCCCCAAGGACGTCCCTCCTCTGATTTGGCTGATGACCATCTCCTCTGTAGTGTGTTTCAGAGGTTTGCAATGCACTTCTCACACAGACCATTTGGTGATAACTGATACCTTCTGATCAACCTAGCATCTTCAGAGAAGCCGGCAGAGTTGTTAAGCAATCTGTGGTTGAAGGATAAGGCCTTTTCCACTCTTTGTGCCTGTGACCACTTGGCCACTTTGACACCACTAAGCCCTCCCATAGTGACAATTACTCCTGAATCCTCTAGACGAGGTGCTACAGCGCACTCAGTGGGCCAGAGCTATGCCAGGTTTCCTGAGTCTGCCAAATGCATGCAGCTCACCCAGGGGCTGCACTGAAGTGGAGAGAATCACTCTCAATCTTTTGTGTGACTCTGTGCGAACACACACACACACACACACACACGCACGCACACACACAGAGGCACTCTGTTGCCAACCTCTGCTTCTATTTCATACATAGCAGCTATCCATACCTGCAATCATAATTTGTTTATTGTTTGTCTTTCCCTCCAATGAAGGCAGAGAATTTTATCTGTTTTTTCCCCTACTGTTTCTCCAACACTTGGAGCAGTATGCCTGGTATGTAATAGGCACTCTATAAATATTTATTGAAAGAATAAAATAATCCTTTGGCAGGAGGGAACAAAATTAACAGAATAGCAAAGACCAGTCAGAAAGAATTAACCCATGAATGATATGTCAGACTCCCCCAAATTAATTCTTTTTAAATTACTGGTCATTTCTTAAACAGCCAACACTGTATACATGACACCAGACATCTACTCTGTAATATTTAAGGGTATTACATTCATAAGTAGAAAAAAGCACACACACTGTTAAAAATATTGGCAATGTATGTAATGCTCTGCAAAGTTCCATCATAGTTTTAATAAAGAAACACACTAGGATTTCTGCCTGATCGTGATTGGCCTTCGTGAAATTGCCCAGTGCTTCAGTGTTATGATTGGTTCAGCATCCAGATTGCTAGAAGATTTAACTCTGGTTTATTTCTCTACTTAGCCAACATTTCGGCTATCAATACTTACTACATACCAGGAATGTACAAGAGTTAAGAAGCTAACACAAGATTCTTTATTTTATAGTCTTGATTTTATTGACAAATGAGCTCATAGTTGGATAAAATACTTACTAAAAATTAGGTTTTTTTTGTGGAAAAGAAGGAGCCTTTAAATTGACCTCTGGCCCTAGCCAGCGTGAATCAGTGAATAGAACGTCAGGCTGCGGACTGAAGGGTCCCAGGTTTGATTCTGGTCAACATGCCTGGGTGTGATTTGATCCCCAGTAGGGGGCGTGCAGGAGGCAGCCGATCAATGATTTCTTCTCATTGATGTTTCTATCTCTCACTCCCTCTCCCTTCCTCTCAGAAATCAATATATATTTTTAAAAATAAATAAAATAAATTGACCTCCAATGTATTGCCACTTATCTTCAGTGGATAGGTGCATAAAGGTAACTTTTAGAAAAATTTAGAACCCTGGGCAAGTAAACCAGTATGAATTTGTTTGGAATTATGAATGACCCTCAGAGTTCAAAAATATGTTAGATAATAACTAAACAATTTCAGAAAAAAAATGAAGATGTTATTTTTATGCAGTTTACATATTTATAATTGAATCCCAAGTTGTGAAGTTGTATATACATATATAGAGAAAATAATACAATAATTAATAAATAATAATTCAAGAATAAACTCTATGTTTTCCATATGAGTAACTGTAGACCTATTTTTGCCCACCACTGTTTATATATAAAATAGTAGTGACCTATGCACTACATAGTTATCTGTGGTTATCTGAAGGTGCAAGGATAAGAGCTGATACTTATTTTCTTTTATATAATTTTATGTTTTTTCCAAGATTTCTATAGTGAACATGTTTAGCATTCACAATTAGGAAAATAAAGATTCTTTTTAAAATATTCCTTTAAATCTATCAATAAAGTATTAAGCTATTTTTCTATTGCTGTGCAAATTATTGCAATTCAATCTAAGATATCAAATGCATGGTAAATGTATCTACAATAGTTCTCATGAAAATTTAGCATTATGTTTAATGTAGGAAATAGTGGAGTAAAGCAAAAAGTCCATTATTGTGTTTGGTTTCTGTGGCACCTCCTCAAGTTTCCTTCTCCTGAACGTTTCGATGTTTTCCTTAGTTGGCCACTGTTTCCTCCACACACTCTCCTGGGGGGTTGTATGAGGAAGAGAAGTATTATGTGAGTGTCCAGGGACTATAGCCTGTTATATACTTAATGAACTTACTTCTTTGGGATATTTTTCTGTGAACAACAGGATCGCTTATATTCCTGCTAGTACCCTTAACAGAAAAATATCCATTCGTCAACCACAACACATAAGGAGATGAATTACTTCTTGGAAAACAACAACCAATAACTATGCCAGGCATCCCTGCTGCCTCATGCAACCACCTCATGGTTCTCATTCTCATGGGTTGGTCCTCCCGCCCTCCTCACCCCTCCAGAGGGAATGGTGACCAAGGGGCATGTGCACAGGGAGTCAGTGAACATTGCTGTACATTGATATCTACATCAGGCCACATGATCTCAAAATTATTATTATTATCCCTACTTAAAGAGAAAATATTTTGGGTCAAGATACATACCTACTAACCCAGGACTTTCTGACTCCAGAGCCCAATTAACCACACAAACCCAGTTCCAGCTGAGAACTGAGCAGGGTCAAAGGAAGTTCACTTCCTTTCACACGTGGTTCCAAGCTTAAGAAGGTAGTTGCACCAAATCAGTAAATAGCATGAATTGCATTAAATTTAATGTGTTATTAAATCTACATTATAAAAATTAATACAGGGAAATATTATCTATCTTTCAAAATAATTGTGTGCCAAATATTTTTTCTCATTATGAGGAACCTAGAGGTTAATACTTGTTTAAAAATATATTTAGCTCACAGGTACTATTATAAATTTTCAGAAGGAAAAAAAAAAGGAATCAGAAAGAAGCAAAAAGCACCACGATGCCAGGGAGACAGACTAGAAGACGGGGCTGAGAGCCAGGGTCACTCGAGACAAATTATTGTAGAACTGCACCTATAGCTAGAGGCTGGAGGAAGAGGAGACAGGACATGGACAGCTTATTTCAAATTCTTCTAAACTGAGTATTTTAGTTACTTTATTAGTTTAATTTTCAGTGAAAAATGTAATTTACTGTATCTTGTGTTGTGTACCCTCACTCAAGTAAGGATGGCTAAAGAAACCTATCCAATACCCACACAGACAGACAGGCCCACTTAACATGAAAACATACGCTTTTTTAGGTAATTTGTATCCTGTAAAGTCTGATGGGGACACCCAACACTTTTTTTTCTAGGAATAGCAATATTGGGGCTGGGTGACCCTAACGTTTTGCCTTTTGGACGAGGGAACAGCTGGATGGGATGACCAACACCCTCTGTAGGCATGGATGAGTCCGCTGGCAGAGCTGACTACAGTCATTTGAAATCTTCTGTTTATCTGTGCAATTTCCTAATGAACTAAACCATTTGCTACAGATAACTCAGAAAATAATGGACTTAGATCCTATTACCTCCTAGGATAAAGAAAAAACAAATCCCCCCACCCCCCTTTTTTCTTAATCTGCTAGTAGTTTTTATAAAACAGCACTCAGCACTCTAGATAAAAGTTTTAGTAAGCAAAGCCTCATGTGGTTTATATATACTTGCATCAGAATGGACTTAGTTATAGCTAGTGATATAAAGATCACTACCAGCCAACAGCATGGTTCAGTGGTTGAGTGTTGACTTATGAACCAGGAGGTCAAGGTTCAATTCCCAGTCAGGGCACATACCCGGGTTGCGGGCTCCATCCCCAGTGCAGGGGAGCATGCAGGAGGCAGTCGATCAATGATTCTCTCTCATCATTGATGTTTCTATCTTTCCTTCTTCCTTCCTCTCTTAAACCAATAAAAATACATTTCAGCCTCAGTGGATGGAGCGTTGGCCTGCAGACTGAAGGGTCCCAGGTTCGATTCTGGTCAAGGGCATGTACCTTGGTTGTGGGCACATCCCCAGTAGGTGGTGTGTAGGAGGCAGCTGGCTGATGTTTCTAACTCTCTATCCCTCTCCCTTCCTCTCTGTAAAAAAAAAAAAAAAAAAAAAAAAAAAAAAATCAATAAAATATATTTTAAAATATATCTTTTAAAATAAATAAATAAATAAATAAAATAAAGACCACCACCAGTCCAAGACTGGCCTTTAATGAAGGAACTTAGGACTTTATTGCAGTTCTCAAATTTAACCAGAACCCCTCCTGCTGAGCTTCATCGGTGGGCCACTCCAGGTAGGTCTTGGTGTTCATGATCTTGCGCAGCTTACAGAAACGCTGGGGAATGGCCTTCCTCTCCAGGGGCTCCAGCAGGACAAGAATGGCAGCGTCGTTGTTCTCATCAAAGAGGCGAAAATGGGAGAAGTCCAGCTCGTACTTGCACCACTCGCTCTTCACAAAGTTCTCAGAAAGCACAAAGATGGTTTTGTGGCTCTTTTCGATGGAATCGATGATGTTGTCAATAATCCACTTGCCGGGAACAAAGTCCCGCTTATGAAGACACAGCTTGAAGGGAGGGTTGAAGTGCTCCAGCTCCTGGACCATCAGGTTCTCCACCCAGTGGGAATCCTGCTCGCTGTAAGACACAAAGGCGTCGTAACAGAGGTCCCTCGGGGGGGCTCTCCTGGGCTTCCTTTTGGCCTGGAGCCAAGCCCACATCATCTTCATGTACCACAGGCCATGGAAACGGTGGCACAGAACCCCAGCGAGCAGGATCAGCAGGAAAAGGACACAGCACACGGCAGACACCACAGCCACCTTGTGGCACTCAGAAACCGAGAGGTGAGTGTCCTGCACCCGCTGGCCCCGCACATGGGATGGGGAATCGCACAGGTAGTTTTCTGGCCAGTCGACCAGGACTTGGGCCAGTGCTTGCCGCCCCTGAGTAAAGGACAGGAATTCACAGGAACAGATGAAACTGTTGCTGCCAGCTTCCAAAGTCTTCAGTTTTTTAAACGAATCAAGTTGCTCCTTAGAGAAC